CCAGAGAGGGCCCATCTACAGGTGGTTCATCGCCCCTTGATTCATCACCTCTCCGGCCCCTCTCCCCAACGCCCCTTCTCACCAACACCCAAACCCCCTTCCAGGTGCACCCATGCTCTCTGCCCTACAACTCCATCAACCTCCACCCCATCTTCTCGACCCAGCTCCAATGGCCGGAAGAGGAAGACAGCTGAGGATCCTTTGGACACTGACATTATGCAGCGGGTGGATGACTTAAAGAAATGGCAGGTACAGAAACAGTGTCCAGCAAAGGCCGTCTACGACATCATGCTACCATGGATGGTGTCTATTCCTGCTGATCAAAGTCTCCTGTTTGTCTCACCCCAAAAACTGTTGGTGTGTGCTTTTTCTTTTCTTATTCATACATTAGCGTGGTGGGTAATTTACTGGGGGGTTTTATGCATGTTTTTTGTACTTATTCCCTCATTCATGTTACTGGTGTTTTACTTCGTTTTTTCTCTTATTTCCCCTTTCATCACACTTTTCACCTGTGATAGTAAATAAATATCTAAAAGGTCTGCAAATCTATTTGTCTAGTTATTTGTACTTGTGGCAGAAAATACTACTGTTTTGAATCAGTCACTCAGTAAATTTGTACTGCTGTGTACATGAGCTATGTAGATGAGGTTCATGTCTTGAGGGTCTAGCCTTATTGTCTACAGCTGGACAGCTACTCTCACCCATTTACCATAGTAGGAACGTTCTCATTGAAAGGCCACTACACATAACACAAGGTTAGGTAAATGTCTTGAGGGTCTAGCCTCCCAAAAAAAGATATGAAAAACTAAAACAAAGATGAAGTGACTGTCATTATAGTACTCTTTATTGTGATTTGTCTCCAAATTGAAGATTTTTGGTTCCATCCGCCGTGTCTTTGTGAGACGCGGTGTGGGTGAACGGATGATCTCCGCATGTGTATTTCCCACCATAAAGTATGGAGGAGGTATTATGGTGTGGGGGTGCTTTGCTGGTGACACTGTCTGTGATTTATTTAGAATTCAAGGCACACTTAACCAGCATGGCTACCACTGCATTCTGCAGTGATACGCCATCCTATCTGGTTTGGGCTTAGTGGGACTATCATTTGTTTTTCAACAAGACAATGACCCAACACACCTCCAGGCTGTGTAAGGGCTATTTGACCAAGAAGGAGAGTGATGGAGTGCTGCATCAGATGACCTGGCCTCCACAATCCCCCGACCTCAACCCAATTGCGATGGTTTGGGATGAGTCGGACCTCAGAGTGAAGGAAAAGCAGCCAACAAGTGCTCAGCATATGTGGGAACATCTTCAAGACTGTTGGAAAAGCATTCCAGGTGAAGCCGGGTTTGGAGAATGCCGAGAGTGTGCAAAGCTGTCATCAAGGCAAAGGGTGGCTATTTGAAGAATCTCAAATATAAAATATATTTTGACACATTTGTTTAACACTTTTCTGGTTACTACATGATTCCATATGTGTTATTTCATAGTTTTGATATCTTCACTATTATTCTACAATGTAGAAAATAGTAATAATAAAGAAAAACCCTGGAATGAGTAGGTGTGTCCAACCCTTTGACTGGTACTGTATATATATATATATATATATATATATATATATATATATATATATATATATATATATAGTCGTCCCCCCCCCCCCCCCCCACTTCTTAAACCAAAGCTGCCCCCTGGATTCTGGCAAGGGTGACAGCTAAAGCACATTTATTGTAGTGATTTTCACCGAAAATGTACAACTACTGCATTATGTCAACATTTTTGTAAAAAAAAAAAAAATACAAACAATTACTCAGATTACTTACTCATATTACCCACCTAGCTGGGAAGGGCTCATATGGAGTAAGGATGACCGACTGAACCGAATCCGTTCATCTCCACTCACTCTCGCTGTGCGATCTACGTCATCAATTTGGGCACCAGGCATGGCTGTAAAGCCTCTTCAAAATGTCTAAACGGGATCCTTGGGACGTCCCAACTCTGACGTCACACCATTGAAGTTAACATTTAAAAGGCTGCCATCTATTGGAAAGGAATGGTAACTACACTGGGCAGCTAAGTCAAAGTAGACTTTAATAATATATGCCATTAAGGAGACGCCTTTATCCAAAGCGAACTGGGTACATGGTAGTGGAAACAGATCATAGAAACAGGATTGCAATTTTGATGTCATGGATGGTTAGTCCTTGCATCTATAGCTCTGTCTATGAATTTGAGAGTGGTTACATTTCTCCAGTCCCATCCCTCAGCTTTTTACCAAAAGAGGAGCAGGGAGTCACTGTTATTGTTTTTACTGCTGTTTGCCACTTTAAGAAGTTAAGATGCAGATTAAATGCACACCAAAATATGTTACAGACACTATAAAAATGTCCCATCACTCAGAAAGTTAGTGAATACACAGCATCCAGCACAGCAAACAAACAATCAATCAAATGTATTTTACAAAAGCTATTTATACATCAAAATAATCACCACAGTGGTTATAGAGGGTGCAACAGTTCAACACCTCAGGAGCAAATGTCAGTTGGCTTTTCATAGCTGAGCATTCATAGCTTCAGAGAGAGATAGTTGTAAAAGCAGGACCGGGACAAGGTAGCACATCTGTTGAAACAGGTAAAAAATTCAGTGGAAAAACAATTCCACTCCGATTCCCTTTATGGATGGGTGTATCTTTGAATTCGCTGTTGAATGGCCTGCTCCTTCTCCATTTTCGGAACACCAGCCCACTCCCCCAAAGTGATCGATAGTGATCTTCCGGAGACACTTGAAACCCCACCTCTTTAAGGAATACCTGGGATAGGATAAAGTAATCCTTCAACCCCCCTTACCCCCCCCAAAAAAAATAATAATAATAATAATAATTACATATTGTAAAGTTGTTATCCCACTGGCTATAAGGTGAATGCACCAATTTGTAAGTCGCTCTGGATAAGAGCGTCTGCTAAATGACGTAAATGTAAATGTAAATATCTTGGCTCGCTCTGTGATTCTGAGCTCTCAGGTTCATACAGCGAGTTATGGTCTTCACTGATTTCACTCTCCGTCAGCTCCATCTGTGGTGTATAGGGGCAGGACTCGGTTGTATACGGATGGTCGTGAGTGCAATCTAGCTGGGCCCCGAGCTCTTTAGTGATGGTCCCGATGGACCTCTTCTCCACCGCAGAACAGGAACACTCACACCATCCATCATTCCTTAAATTCTGACCAGTTTCCCAGTCCCTGCTGATGAAAAACATCCATCCAACAACATGGTGTTCTCGGGGTGATGAGAGGTGTTGGGTTTGCGCCAGACATAGCGTTTTCCTTGATGGCCAAAAAGCTCAATTTTTGTTTCATCTGACCAGAGTACCTTCTTCCATATGTTTGGGGAGTCTCCCACATGCTTTTTGGCGAACACCAAACGTGTTTGCTGATTTTTTTCTTCAAGCAATGGCTTTTTTCTGGCCACTCTTCCGTAAAGCCCAGCTCTGTGGAGTGTACGGCTTAAAGTGGTCCTATGGACAGATACTCCAATCTCCGCTGTGGAGCTTTGCAGCTCTTTCAGGGTTATCTTTGGCATCTTTGTTGCTTCTCTGATTAATGCCCTCCTTGCCTGGTCTGTGAGTTTTGGTGGGCGGCCCTCTCTTGGCAGGTTTGTTGTGGTGCCATATTCTTTCCATTAATGGTGCTCCGTGGGATGTTCAAAGTTTCAGATATTTTTTTAGAACCCAACCGTGATCTGTACTTCTCCACAACTTTGTCCCTGACCTGTTTGGAGAGCTCCTTGGTCTTCATGGTGCCGCTTGCTTGGTGGTGCCCCTTGTTTAGTGGTGTTGCAGACTCTGGGGCCTTTCAGAACAGGAGTATATATACTGAGATCATGTGACAGATCATGTGAGACTTAGATTGCACACAGGTGGACTTTATTTAACTAATTATGTGACTTCTGTAGGTAATTGGTTGCCCCAGTTCTTATTTAGGGGCTTCATAGCAAAAGGGGTGAATACATATGCACGCACCACTTTTCCATTATTTATTTATTTGAAATAAGTAATTTTTTTCATTTCACTTAACCAATTTGGACTATTTTGTGTATGTCCATTACATGAAATCCAAATAAGAATCCATTTAAATTACAGGTTGTAATGCAACCAAATAGGAAAAACGCCAAGGGGGATGAATTATTTTGCAAGGCACTTGTCCATTTTATATCCAAAATGGCATCAGGGATGACAGATTGTGTCTTGAAATAAACAATAGCCTTAGAAATAACATGGATTTGCATGTACCTCCCCTGCCTCTTGCACAGTCTCCTCCAGGATGAAAACCTTTTCAGGGATGAAGTTCTCATCCTGAAAACAAGACAACTTAACCCAAATATTTCAGTTGGCATTAACAAACTACCTGTCTTGTATGCTTTGTCAACACACACACACACACACACACACACACACACACACACACACACACACACACACAGCAATACAGGGACATTTATTTTTCAGCAAACATTAGCTATGTCAACTTCAGTCTAGCTAAATGAGGTGGAGCTAACAAAATATTACAAAAACAAATTGTCAACAAAATGTATTACAGTACTTTGACTATCTGAGGTAGAAGCTAGCTACAGTAACTGCCTAATAACAGGGGTACACAGAGAAACTGTGTTGCAATTTTAGTTGCAGTTGAGCTGCTTGCTAACATTATTTGCTGGGGGGTGTTACACAAAACACTTCAGACGCAATTAGCTAGTTACCTTCAACTGGAGTTGCAACAAAGTTGTCCAGTGTCTAATCCTAGACTAGTCAACAACAGTCATGACCAGTTAACGTTACCTCAGGCTCCATTACATTCTCGACTCCGAAGTCAGCGATGTTGATGATGGTCGGTCTGTAACCCCTACACCATAACCCTCGACATTTAAAATGGAAGCGCAAGCAGAGGGCTTCAATGTAGGCCTATGACTCCTTTCCATTTGGAAACTCCCGGTTGCCGCATCGAAAATGCACTTCATCGCGAAGTCTGCCTCCGCGAAGTGCTGTCTGCAGATCCTGCTAGCTCGACCTGGCATGTCCTTCCTCTTCATGACATGGAGCCACTTCTTCAAAAGTTGTGGGTCCTTGGGCAGCCGATGGTAGTTTACCGAGGGATTGTTTTGGAGCCAATTCATACAGCCTGGCGCTATACAATTCATGTTTGAATTACTACTTGTTGTTGCCATCTTCGTTGTCCGCACCTAACCTCACTTTCTTCGATTCACTCCACGCGAAAACTCAATACCACAGACAATTTGATGATTCCTGCCAGTGACGCACTGGCATCAGTCGTTACTATGGTAATTTAAAATGGCGCTGAACATAGCTCAAATAAACCTTGTTGACGATCAAAATACGAAATATAGAGATGTTTTATGTTAAATGCACATGTTTAGTATTAGTGGTATGAAATACATCTCTTTGCTTAGATTTACTTAGGTTAGGTTAGGTTAGGTTAGGGTTTAGAGTAGCCCAAGATGCACTCTTAAGGAGCCTACCATTACTCCTTATGGTCCAAGGACCTTATGATATCTTCAGAGGTAGACTGGCTCTGGCAGCCAAAACAGCCAAATACTCCATCTAAACATGAATCGATTCTAAATTGCAATATGGTTCTAGAAACATAAAGCTCTTTGTTTTTACATTACATCAAAATAATTTCGCAAATGCAAAATATATACTTACTTTACACTGTTTTAACCAGTTGCAGCCGACAGTATTTTTCAGTGACACGTTTCTGGAGGTCTTCTTCTTCTCTGATATAATGGCATTCAGAAATTTTCAGAAGGCTATACCGCTAATACAGGACTAGTAAAGGCCCAGTGCACTACTTTAGTGTTATATATATATATATATTATTATTTTTCTTCAGATTTTTCAGGGGGTGCTGCAGCACCCCCAGCACCCCTACTTCATGTGGCTATGACCGCAAGCGATGCGTGTTAATGTTCAGATCAAGTATTTGTGCTCTTAACAAAACGCCCCCATACAGAAGACGCGTTCGTCCAATGATTCTTATGTGTAATGTAATGGAACAGATAGCCATGATCAAGGGCTAGGTTTAGGGTAGGTACGTCTCAAGGATTCCAAATAGCACTATCCATAGCCTCTCTCCGGGCAACGTCAGTTAAAGCTGTGCGCCTGCGTACGGTAGTCCCATGTGTTTTCGTGTATACATGCATTAACAAGTTGAACGCTACCTAGCTATTACAACTGGAGCTGTGGCTTCTACAGACATACATGCATACCAGGGGAAATATGGAGGGTGAGTATCCTAACCTTTCTTTTCTAAACTAACTGTTACTCACATGGATCCATTCGTTGTTCATAATTTAAAGATTAGCTAGCTACACGTTTAGCTAACGTTGGCTACTTAGCATATGTGTTGTTCCTAGCTACATCTCACAATATTTGGTAAAATGCTGACTGATAACATAACATTTGTTCTCTTATCTTCTAGGACTCGTGCAGGCTAGCCTACCTCCTGATCAGGGACACATTCTGGGGATAGTGGTGGGTATCCTACTGTACTAATGTAATACTGATGTGTTAGCTACCATTATGTAGCCAGGAAGTAGGTTGGACACGAAAACCTGAGACAGGCATTTATAAAGCCTTCCACTGCAGCAAGGTAGTCTGCTGTTAGGATCTAGCTAACAGTCACTCTTTCAAATATTCACCATTATAAACTGGGTGGTTTGAGCCTTGAATTCTGATTGGCTGAAAGCTGTGGTATATCAGAACGTATACCACGGGTATGACAAATTATTTATTTTTACTGCTCTAATTGCGTTGGTAACCAGTTTATAATAGCAATAAGGCACCTCGGGGGTTTGTGGTATATGGCCAGTATACCACGGCTAAGGGCTGTATCCAGGCACTCCGCTTTGTGTCCTGCTTAAGAACAGTCCTTAGCCATGGTATGTTGGCCATATACCACACCCCCTAGACCCTTATTGCTAAATTATACAAGTGTGGGTCTAATCGTGAATGCTGATTTGTTAAAACCACATTTCAGCCAGTGTCTATTCCACAAATTACCACCGGCTAAATCTATGACATTAAAATGCCTATTTACTCTGTTCCATCTGACTGCACAATCCAATGTCTCATCAGTCCAGCCAGGCAATTTATAAACTTGATCTCCACTATAAAAAACAACTAGACATTTCTTTTAGACTAACATTTAGTTTTCAACAGCGGAGATTTTTATACACCTTGCTGTCTGGCTCTCCGGCATTTACAACATTGTTTCAATATTCAAATTCGATCTCCAGCTGTCCCATAGTAATGAACGTGTCATGAGTAGGGACTAGACAGGCAGGCAGGCAGTGTTTCTTAGCCAGTCGAAATCATTAATCACCTGGCATCATTTTTATGGATATAAACAAAGAAATGTCAATTGAAAAAAAAGGTAAAACGAAGTGCAGCTAGTTTGCAGTCTTTCCAGCTTCAGTTTGAAGTGATTGTGTTAGCTGTGTTGTTGGCTAGCTCCTCTGAACAACGTTGTCCTGACTAGTGAGCACATTTTCTATGCTAGGTGAAATCACGCCTCCATTAGCTCATTTTTACAGATGTATCCAAATAAATGTCACTAGAAAACAGCTTAAACAAATGCAAATTGCAGCTACTTTGCTGTTATTCTGGCTGCACTTTTTGACGTGACTGTAAGTTAGCCATAGTTTGCTAGCTAGCAAGCAAGGGATAAGAACGTTGCCAGCCAGTATGGCAATGGAACATTTAGAACGAACGACTGGGTCATGTCCATAGATACAGGACAAAAAGACTGAACGACTGGGTCACTTCTCTGGCAACTGAACCGATAGAACGAACGACCAGCCGGTTTAGGTAGCAACCCTAGATTTGTGTCGGGACTACATCTTGTGGAAGGATGTAATAGTATGAATCAATTCATAAAATAACATTTTTAATGAAAATATGTCGATCATTATTTGAATATGTTGGTAACCCGTTGTATAAAAGTGATAATGCCTTCGAAGCCGGTGTTTGGAGGATATATTGGCACGGTTTGCCGGCCCTCAGCGAATATATCCTCCAAACACCGGCTTCTCGGGCATTACCATTATCACTTAAATATGCCATCACATAGCCTAACTGTTTTCAGTTGTGCAGACAAGATAGCCTAACTAGTGTTGGTGAAACCATAAGGAGAGGAAGTACAAAACCAACGACGCTAGACAGAGAGGAATATGCTTAAGCAAAAGGCAGTTTATTAAACACAGAGATAGCTGGTACTGCTCAAGCTACATGCATGGGCCCAATGCATGGACCCAATCAATTGCCTCTTATGGAGACAGTTGAGAAGGATCAAAAACAGAGTTTACAGCATTACTTTATACAATGTAACATAGAGGAAAGGGGTCCTTCTTCTAGTCCCTTGATTGGTTCCCGAGGCGTAGGAGGCGGGTCTGCTCTGTCCAGAGCAGAAGCCCCATTGGTGCACGGCAGAGTCCTCTGCCCTTGGCACCCGACCAGTAGAAAGAAGTGCAGTTTGTGTGTGTGTGCGTCCACAGAGCAAAGAACTCGGGAGGCATGAGAATGAGTGTGCGTATGCATGGAGATGTGTGTGTGAATGTGTATGTCTCAAGGGAAAAACTCGTGGGGAGCAATCAGTGATTGTGGCCTGTGGCGTGGGTGTTGTCCTTGACAAGATATGGTCCTCTGTCCATTGTTCTTGCATAGGAACAGCATTGATTGAAAACAAACGCCTAACACAAAATGGGTCATGCACAAGATTTTAGTCAGACCAAGCTATAACATTTTATATTTACTACGACACTAGCCTGTTAGTTATAATTGTCTCATGATGGGATATGTCTGTTCTGGTGCCCATACAGTCTCAGAGTGATAAGCAGGCAGAGACGTTCACAAATGGCTTTCTGAAGAACAGTTTACCGGGTATGAGCGAGAAGGAAATCGGCGACTTCATGTTTCGCAAAGCTGTGGTTCTAAAGTATGCTAAAAATAAAAAGGAGAAGAAGAAAAAGAAGAGAACTAAGGGTCTCAATGCAAAACAGAGGAGGGAGATGAAGGTCTTTCAGCTGAAACCAGAGCATCAAAAGTTTGTACATACTTTTTCCTTGTAGTAGGACTAAATATGTTGTTTATCATCTACTGCTCTGACATGTAAGGCTTTTTTTCACACGCTTATTATTATTTTTTATCTCTGTAGATATGAGCTTTTCTTGCCTTTGCATGAGCTATGGAAACAGTACATCAGAGATCTGTGCAACGGATTGAAACCAGAGAGGTAAGAAATGCATTGTATTTGGCTCATGTAGGACAAAGCTTTTTGTATGTTCTGCCTTTTGTTTGGCTAGAATGTTAGATCCTAATGAAATTAAATGTATGTTGAAGCAACCCACAGACAATTCAGCAGAGGCTTTTGAAGGCTGATTTTCATGGTGCCATTCTTACAGGTTAGAGCTTGTTTATTTGGTCAAAACACTTTAGCTGTTACTGTCACTAATCGATGCCAGTCTTCAGGACCTTAATTAGCACATCTATGTCACATTGTATATAATCATGTCTATGTAATCATCACCAATGTTTTTGGGTGTGTGAAACAGTGGCCAGGTCCAAATGCCCCTCGTATGTAGGCACCACAGGAATCCTAGTGCAGGAGATGAAACGTCTTCAAAATCATCACAAAGGAGGACAAACTGAAAGGTTTGTACGCCATATTTCAGTACTGCTGTTATTGAACTGTTTTTCAATTGCCAAACTGCCATTCTATTTACTTCCTTATCTCTCTCCTTCTTCTGCAGTCATACCCAAGCGAAACAGCGTGTTTGCCCTGGAGATCGATGGCTTTGTCTCCCATATCTACGGTAGCAAGTTTGAACTCCGCTCAAGCGAACGATCAGCAAAGACATTTAAAGTCAAAGGAACCATAGACCTGTGATGGTGTTGATAGAGTACAGGACCGCCTATGCAAATGACAATGATGAGTGATGACCTGACCTGCAGGTGGAGAAATGAGACTGAGCTCTGAGACTCAAAGGACAGAGGATCTATAATAAGGAATCACACCATCTTCAATTCTTATTTTCAAGTCATACGGGAACCTCAGCATCTGTTTTGGATGCAAGCCCTGTTCTATAGCATTTCATACAGTGGCAAAAACAAAGACCTGACAGACTCAAAGCAATCAAAAGTTTGTTGTGATTAGAGAACATTTGTGTTGGTATTTTCCTTTTTTGTAAACGTATCCATTGATGGATCAATGACTCTAATTGTACATAATTGTAAATACATTATGATCTGTTTTCAGTTGTTTTGAGCAGCACTACCTATGTCCACAAGGTGGCACTAAATCAATCTGCTTCCTCAATGTATGTACAATAAACATATCTATCTCTAGAAATGTTTGTTAAATTACAGGTTACATTTTCTTGATCACCTAGTTTGAAGTAACACAATGAGTTACAATACAATGATACTATGTGGAATCTGAACATGTGCCTGTCTTCGGTATACAAGATGCTTAGGTTTTTTTAAATTAACCATGAGTATGATTTTGTCAACTTTTTATGATATTACAACAATGAAAACTGAGTGATTGAAGTCATTTTATTTTTTAAATCAATTTAAAAGACAAAGCATTTGCTGTATGTTTTGTAATATATTGTTACATTGTATTTCCCTATGAATTTTACCGGCAAAAAGCCTATCCCTATTCTAAGAAGTGTGCTGATGCATGAGATATGTCATTGTTTGGGCAAGGGTGTGTGTATGAGGCTGACTGGAAGGGTAAAAATAAACGTCATCACTTCCTTTTTCACTGGGACTTCAAATATGCTTTCTGCTCTTTCTTTTCACAGGGTGTAAGGTCCTCAACTAGCCGGTGCCCCCGCACATTGACTATGCAACGGTACCCCCCTGTATATATAGCCTCCCTACTGTCACTTTATTCTATTGTATATATAGCCTCCCTACTGTCACTTTATTTTTTACTTCTGCTCTTTTTTTTCTCAACACTTTTTTGTTGTTGTTTTATTCTTACTTTTTTTGTTTAAAATAAATGCACTGTTGGTTAAGGGCTGTAAGTAAGCATTTCACTGTAATGTCTGCACCAGTTGTATTCGGCGCATGTGACCAATAAAATTTGATTTGATTTGATTTGATTTGGTCAAAAAGCCCGGTGTATCAGTCAATGCAATGCAACACGTACGTCTATGACCACATTTGATATTGCAAAAAGCATACATATAATTCAATGTATATGTAATATTCAAGTCCAATGTTTCTTGCATGCATGTGCTATGTTTATTTGTTCAGCCCTGGTGACTTGGCATTCTATGCTAAAGAATAGCCATTCTGGGACATTGTTTTCCCTCATAAAAAACACAGGATGCACATTAACTAGATTTCATAATCATTTGTTTATACTTCTGTATTCTTGTAAAGCGTAATGCTTGTTGGAAGTCTGTCATGGTATAATGGTCAGTAGTCCTGTGTAGCTCAGTTGGTAGGGCATGGCGTTTGCAACGCCAGGGTTGTGGGTTCGACTCCCATGGGGGGCCAAAAAATAAATAATGTATGCACTCCCTAACTGTAAGTCGCTCTGGATAAGAGCGTCTGCTAAATGACGTAAATGTCTACAAAAGTAAGAGTATTCCTTGAAACAATGTCTTAATCTGCACAGTCTTTGCTATATCCTGCTCAACCAGACAGACAACATTGGGTTTTTTTTTTTTTTTTTTTGGTTGATGACAGTAAGTTGATGACAGTCTGTTTGAAAATAGAATGATGCCCTTTTGGTAAACATCATGCACAGTTAAACTGTACTTTCATGTAGTGTTTTTTTCTACTGAAAAAATAACTCTAGCACCTAGTTCAATGATACACACGTTTTAGCTAACACTCATTCTTTCGGTGAGATGGATATAGTTCAGTTGTGTTTAAAGAAGATATGTCCTCTGAAAATGGCGTTTGTGCGTTTGCTTTTTTAATCTGCATGTTCCATCATAAGGTGGCCTGAGAAGACACCCCTACTGAAGGAAATCAATTATGATTGTTTGAAATGTGACGTCATAAAATTTTATAGACATTATTGCTTCCCCATCAGAAGTTGGTCTTTGTGTAGGCCTATATTTAAGTGATAATACCCGAGAAGCCGGTGTTTGGAGGATATATTGGCACAGGTGTTGTTAGGCCGAGACGAAGTCGAGGGCCGGCAAATCGTGCCAATGTATCCTCCAAACGCCGGCTTCGAGGGCATTATCACTTTTAAACAAAGGGTTACCAACATATTCAAATAATGATTTACATATTTTCATTAAAAACATTATTTTGATTAATTTATTAATACTATTTCATCCTTCCACAAGATATAGTCCCGACACAAATCTAGGGTTGCTACCCAAGCCGGCAGGTCATTACTGTGGGACATCAGGAGATCGAATTTGAATATTGAAACAATGTTGCAAATGTTGGAGAGACAGACAGCAAGGTTTATACAAATCTCCGATGTTGAAAACTAAATGTTAGTCTAAAAGAAATGTGAGATAATGTCTAGATGCTTTTTAAAGTGGAGATCAAGTTAATATATTGACTGGCTGGGCTGATGAGACAGTGGATTGTGCAGTCAGATGGAACAGAGTAAATAGGCATTTTAACGTCATAGATTTAGCCAGTGGTAACTTGTGGAATATACACCCCGGCTGGAATGTGGTTTTAACCAATCAGCATTCAGGTTTAGACCCGTTGTATAACCTAGTTTATACAACATTCCATAAAGAGTGATCAGTCAAGAGATAGCTTTCTCATACTACCAGGAACCTCTCTTTGTTGGTTTTCCCCAGACCAAGAATCTGATCAACATGCAGCAACTATCATTTGTGATTTTCCATTCAATGCTGCTTGTCAATTCTAGCAAGTTCATTGTTTTGTTTTTCAGTTGCAACCATTAGCTAGTATCACTAACCATCATCATTATGTTCCTATAATTTATAGCCATGTGATTTTTTTCCTATCATTACATTGTTATTAATATTTCTGCTTAAAGCTGGAATCCTTAGATTGCTACATACATTTTTGAACCTATAAATTAATGATATACTTTGAACGGGGTATGGTACTAGGTGCCAGGTGCACCGGTTTAAGTGTGTCAAGAACTGCAACGCTGCTGGGTTTTTCACTCTCAACAGTTTCCCGTGTGTATCAAGAATGGTCCATCAAAAGGCGGTGCAACACAATATTAGGAAGGTGTTCCTAATGTTTTGTACCCTTAGCCTCAATTCGTCAGGGCATGGACTCTACGAGGTGTCAAGCGTTCCACAAGGTGCTGGCCCATGTTGACTCCAATGCTTCCCACAGTTGTGTAACATTGGCTGGATGTCCTTTGGGTGGTGGACCATTCTTGCAGTTCTTGACACACAAAAAAAACATCGCAGTTCTTGACACAAATCGGTGTGCCTGGCACCTACTACCATACCCCTTAATAGGCACTTAAATATTTTGTCTTTCCCATTCACCCTCTGAATGGCACACATACACAATCCACGTCTCAAGGCTTTAAAATCCTTCTTTAATCTGTCTCCTCTTCATCTACACTGATTGAAGTGGATTTAACAAGTGACATCAATAAAGGATCATAGCTTTCACCTGGATTTACCTGGTCAGTCTATGTCATGGAAAGAACAGGTGTTCTTAATGTTTTGTACACTCATACCCATTGATTCTTGAAGAATATAACTTATAAATGCCGCATGAGCTTAGTTTAACTGTCGTTTTTTACACCAATGTTTGTAAAACAATGTAAATGTAAACAAACACTGTATAGCCTCAAAACATGGTTAAAACTATAATTTTGATATCATGGATGGTGTTCCTTGCATCCATAGCTCTTTCTATGAATTTGAGAGTGTTTACATTTCTCCAAGGCCCATCCCTCAGCTTTTTACCAAAACACAGCCGGGATGACAGCTTTGTTATTGTTTCAATTAAGGATGCTAGCTTTAATGCTGTCCAACAGTGTTTTTCTGTGACGTATTCATAGTCCTAGTCCTATAATTAGCTATTACAATACTTGTATTTACTGTAATTTAATAGGATCTCTATGCTCCGAGTCACATCCCATCATGTTTGGGAATCTGGTCTTGCCTGTTTTCCCTCTTTCTAGTTTCTCTCTCTCTCTCTCTCTCTCTCTCTCTCTCTCTCTCTCTCTCTCTCTCTCTCTCTCTCTCTCTCTCTCTCAATGTTCAATTCAATTTCAATTTAAGGGCTTTATTGGCATGGGAAACGTGTGTTAACATTGCCAAAGCAAGTGAAGTAGATAGTAAACAAAAATGAAATAAACAATAAATATTAACAGTAAACATTACACTCAGAAGTTTCAAAAGAATAAAGACATTTCAAATGTCATATTATGTATATATACAGTGTTGTAACAATGTGCAAATAGTTAAAGTACAAATGGGAAAATAAATAAACATAAATATGGGTTGTATTTACAATGGTGTTTGTTCTTCACTGGTTGCCCTTTTCTTGTGGCAACAGGTCACAAATCTTGCAGCTGTGATGGCACACTGTGGTTTTTCACCTAGTAGATAAGGGAGTTTATCAAATTTGGGTTTGTTTTCGAATTCTTTGTGGATCGCTGTAATCTGAGGGAAATATGTGTCTCTAATATGGTCATACATTTGGCAGGAGGTTAGGAAGTGCAGCTCAGTTTCCACCTCATTTTGTGGGCAGTGTGCACATAGCCTGTCTTCTCTTGAGAGCCAGGTCTGCCTACGGCGGCCTTTCTCAATAGCAAGGCTCTCTCTCTCGCTCTCGCTCTCTCTCAATTTCAATTCAATTCAATTTCAATTTAAGGGCTTTATTGGCATGGGAAACATATGTTAACATTGCCAAAGCAAGTGAAGTAGATAGTAAACAAAAGTGAAACAAACAATAAATATCTAATTGTGTTGTTGTTGTTGTTGTCGTCCTGGGGCTGTGTGGGGTCTGTTTGTGTTTGTGAACAGAGCCCCAGGTCCAGCTTACTTAGGGGACTCTTCTCCAAGTTCATCTCTCTGTAGGTGATGGCTTTGTTATGGAAGGTTTGGGAATCGCTTCCTTTTAAGTGGTTATAGAATTTTACGGCTCTTTTCTGGATTTTGATAATTAGCGGGTATTGGCCTAATTCTGCTCTGCATGCATTATTTGGTGTTTTACGTTGTACACGGAGGATGTTTTTGCAGAATTCTGCATGCAGAGTCTCAATTTGGTGTTTGTCCCATTTTGTGAATTCTTGGTTGGTGAGCGGACCCCAGACCTCACAACCACAAAGGGCAATGGGTTCTATAACTGATTCAAGTATTTTTAGCCAGATCCTAATTGGTATGTCAAATTTTATGTTCCTTTTAATGGCATAGAAGGCCCTTCTTGCCTTGTCTCTTAGATCGTTCACAGCTTTGTGGAAGTTACCTGTGGCGCTGATGTTTAGGCCGAGGTATGTATAGTTTTTTGTGTGCTCTAGGGTAACGGTGTCTAGATGGAATTTGTATTTGTGGTCCTGGCAACTGGACCTTTTTTGGAACACCATTATTTTTGTCTTACTGAGAATTACTGTCAGGGCCCAGGTCTGACAGAATCTATGCAGAAGATCTAGGTGCCGCTGTAGGCCCTCATTGGTTGGTGACAGAAGCACCAGATCAACAGTAAACAGAAGATATTTGACTTCAGATTGCAGTAGGGTGAGGCCGGGTGCTCTCTCTCGCTCTCTCCACCCCCCCCACCCCCCTCTCTCTCTCTTTCCCCATCAAGTTGTTTTGGAACTCCCCATGCGGTGTGAGTCAACAGGAAATGTGAGTGTTGCACATATAAAGGACCTCTCGTGGCTACTCACTCTTCGTTACAGAAACGACTACTTGAAGCTGACAAAACCTACTGTATGGTGGTCAGACGGGAACACAGCGACTTACTACCGAGTCACAGACTGCTGCAGTGTAAACGAGCTATAAATCACAAAACAGAGAGTAAAAGGTAAAATGAACTATTTTTCACTATCCATTTATTTGATCATTAGTGACATAGGCCTACCATTTCGTCTTACGCGTAAATCTTAATGTCATTTTTTGTTATTTAAATTGTATTTACATTGTATTTACGTTTTGTTAATTTCCTGCAGTGTTGTAATCCAGCTCATCATGGTGGACCTGCTGGCTTTCACGCAAGAGAACAGAGAGCGGATCCAGGCAGTGGAGAACTCCTTTGGCCCCTCTGGGAAGCCCCTGTTCAGACCTGGCCGGATCTTGATAGGCGAGGGGCGGCTGATGAAGCTGTGTCGACGCCGCCCCCAGCCCAAAGTATTTTACTTGTTTAATGACATCCTGGTGTACGGTAGTATCATCCTTCATGGACGCTGGCACAAGAACCAGCAGGTAATCTCCTTGGAGGATATCCAGCTAGAGGACCTGGAGGACGGGGTCAGCATGGAGAACCAGTGGCTGATCCGCACCCCACGGAAGTCCTTCTATGTGGCAGCTGCCTCTGCTGAGGAGAAGCGTGCCTGGATGGAGCACATCGAGGACTGCAGGTCCAAGCAGCTGCAGCATGCCGGCTGCCAGCCCGGGTGCACCTTCGCCACCACATGGATCCCTGACCGGGCGTCCGCCATCTGCATGCGCTGCACTAAAACGTTTCGGGTCAACAAACGTCGCCACCACTGTCGTCGCTGCGGCTTCGTCGTCTGCAACGCCTGCTCCAAGAACCGGGCCGTGATCCGCCACATCTCTACTAAGCCTGTGAGGGTGTGTCGACTGTGCCACCTCAGTCTCCAGGACCAGGGGGAGCAGACCCTGGCCCAGGATGAGGTGCGTCTACGGGGGGACAGTGATGGGAGGGACTGCTCTGATGAATACAACCTGCTCATGCCTGAGTGCAAGGCGCCCAGTGATGATGAGGCAGATGAGCAGGTAGAGGACTATGCACCAAACCAGTGGGTTGTGTCTCAGATAAACTCTTGGTCCCCATATGTCTATTTAAAACCAGACCATCAAAGTCCCAATTTCACTGGATTGTCAAGTCACTTGACTTGACTTTTGGGAAATGTGAGAGGACACTGAAAAGTATTTACTGAATGAGTATGTGGCTGAAAGAGTGCCACATTTGTTTTGTTAGTTTTGTTTTAGTCATTTAGCAGATCAAATCAAGACGATACATGATCACATGTAATCATAAATATTGTACAAATATGAACACTAATCCTAACCATATAATATATGTACTGGATCAGTATATTCCTGTTAATATACCTTTGAGTGTTTTGGGAGGCTGATTTTTGTTATCCTTTTGATAAAGGTTAACCTGTAGAATGCATTGTTGACTGCCCATTATGCACACACAGAGCATCTTTGTTTACATGAAATACATTTTGCACTGAATACTTTTATTTTCATCCTATAATTATCTTGTTTAGAAAAAGGCATGTTGACTAAGATAATGTGCCTATATTAAGTGTACCTGTAATTATTACTCTAAATGGCAACAATAACTATACCTCTTTATTTATCACATTCACATCAACCATTTATCTATAAAATAAAATCCTTTGATAGCAAACTTTTGTCATCCTGGTCCTGAACACCTGGTAAGACTGCTTATTGACCCACGAACAGTTGTAATCAAACTATTCAGTCCTTAGTGTTATAAAGTCCCGCAGACACATGAACGAGTCCTGAGGCAACAGGTGCAGTAAATAAGCCCTTAGAGAAAGTTCTTGCCTCACTTGATTTTCCTAACTCTAGTGTTGTCATTGGCAATCCTCAGGCCAACTGCCAATGACATTTTCGAAATAACCTATTCAAATGCAACATGTCTATCATGAACACTTTATAGGCATTTCAAACAAAATCATTTTAAATTGTGCTCTCTGATTTCTAAAAATAACTGTCTAAAAGGTTTTTCAATGAAGATACAGTTGAAGTCGGAAGTTTACATACACCTTAGCCAAATACATTTAAACTCAGTTTTTCACAATTCCTGACATTTAATCCTAGTAAAAATTCCCTGTCTTAGGTCAGTTAGGATCACCACTTTATTTTAAGAATGTGAAATGTCAGAGTAATAGTAGAGAGAATTATTTATTTCAGATTGTATTTATTTTATCACATTCCCAGTGGGTCAGAAGTTTACATACACTCTATTAATATTTGGTAGCATTGCCTTTAAATTGTTTAACTTGGGTCAAATGTTTCAGGTAGCCTTCCACAATACGTTGGGTGAATTTTGGCCCATTCCTCCTGACAGAGCTGGTGTAACTGAGTCAGGTTTGTAGGCCTCCTTGCTCGCACACGCTTTTTCAGTTCTGCCCACAAATGTTCTATAGGATTGAGGTCAGGGCTTTGTGATGGCCACTCCAATACCTTGACTTTGTTGTCCTTAAGCCATTTTGCAACAACTTTGGAACTATGCTTGGGGTCATTGTCCATTTGGAAGACCCATATGCGACCAAGCTTTAACTTCCTGACTGATGTCTTGAGATGTTGCTTCAATATATCCACATAATTTTCCTTCCTCATGATGCCATCTATTTTGTGAAGTGCACCAGTCCCTCCTGCAACAAAGCACCCCCACAGCATGATGCTTCCACCCCTGTGCTTCACGGTTGGGATGGTGTTCTTCGGCTTGCAAGCAACCCCCTTTTTCCTCCAAACATAACGATGGTCATTATGGCCAAAAAGTTCTATTTTTGTTTCATCAAACCAGAGGACATTTCTCCAAAAAGTACGATCTTTCTCCCCATGTGCAGTTGCATACTGTAGTCTGGCTTTTTTGTGGCGGTTTTGGAGCAGTAGCTTCTTCCTTGCTGAGCGGCCTTTCAGGTTATGTCGATATAGGACTCGTTTTACTGTGGATATAGATACTTTTGTACCCGTTTCCTCCAGCATCTTCACTAGGTCCTTTACTGTTGTTCTGGGATTTATTTACACTTTTCGCACCAAAGTACGTTAATCTCTAGGAGACAGAACGCGTCTCCTTCCTGAGCGGTATGACGGCTGTGTGGTCCCATGGTGTTTATACTTGCGTACTATTGTTTGTACAGATGAACGTGGTACCTTCAGGCGTTTGGAAATTGCTCCTAAGGATGAACCAGACTTGTGGAGGTCTACAATATTTTGGCTGATTTCTTTTGATTTTCCCATGATGTCAAGCAAAGAGGCACTGAGTTTGAAGGTAGGCCTTGAAATACACCCACAGGTACACCTCCAATTGACTCAAATTATGTCAATTAGCCTATCAGAAGCTTTTAAAGCCATGACATCATTTTCTGGAATTTTCCAAGCTGTTTAAAGGTACAGTCAACTTAGTGTATGTAAACTTCTGACCCACTGGACTTCTGATACAGTGAATTATAAATAATCTGTCTGTAAACACTTGTTGGAAAAATTACTTGTGTCATGCACAAAGTAGATGTCCTAACCGACTTGCCAAAACTATAGTTTGTTAACAAGAAATCTGTGGAGTGGTTGAAAACAAGTTTTAATGACTCCAACCTAAGTGTATGTAAACTTCTGACTTCAACTGTATAAAACTGCTCTCACATCCCAGACTACCAATAAGGTGGTGATGGAATATGATATCTTGTGACTTCAAACCATTTCAATTTGAAAAAGCTGCTAAGAAACGGTTTATTAGTAAGCCATACCTACAAGAATAATAACCATCTCTCAGAAACTAATGACATAACTTCCAATGAAATTTCCCCTCGAGATTAATAATCTATCTTTCTCCGTCTGATGTTATGACAACCTGCATGACCAAGTTTGCTTGCAAAGAAGGAACAAGGAAACATCTAGAAAAATGAATGGAAAAAAATGCACAGTGGTGTCATGACAAACAACCTTGCACATACTTCACAAAGTGTTTTGATATCTTAATAAGATTATAGTATAATTCAATAGTCAACAATTGAAACATTGAAAAAGAGGAACTATATTTCATTGCGTATAATCTCGGAAACCCCGAACAAAAATCGTGCTAAATTGTGTCAGATGAGATACCATTCTATGTTATGTGCATGCGTCTGTCCATGATAATGTATTAAGTGGTTGAATTTCCCTTACTAAACTGTCAGTTGACTCACTGAAACAACATGTTTTCTGGCTTAATGATATCATACTAAAAGCTTGTGGTTATCATACAATAGTCACCTTCATCCTTTATTTCATTTATCATGATTTTCATAGAAACAGTTTAATACAGAGCATTACAAAAAGTGTCCAATATTTTCCCAATTAGTTAATTCTAGGACTAGGTGGGACTTATCACCATTATGCAGCAGGAGTATCAAGGCTGGTTTCTCAGAAGTACTCATCTCTTACAATATTCACATTGCATGAATCGCTTGAGATCCCAGGCACACTTACAAGAGGAGTGATCAGGGTCCTTTTTTCATTGTCTTGCATTTGTTGCAAATAATGTAAATGATAAATGCCCAACAATATTCAATGTGTACATTTCAGTGCAGAATATTGGTAACAAATTATGCACTACAAAACAAATAAAGTACACCCTTTGGTTAATCGCTGTACTGTTCTTATAAGAGAAGTTTCAATCATACCGCTACATTTCTCATTTAAAACAAATGTGTACATTAAAGGGCAATTCTGCCACCTTTCAACATCATATTAATTATCTCCAGCACCATACCAGTGTCTACATACAGTATGTGAAAACACGTTTCTATGATCTGTGGTCAAAAAGACAAGGTACTAAAAAATGTTTCTCTTTGACATCACAGGGTAGGATTAAAGGTAACAAAACAGTGATTTTATTATTTAATAAATTCACTGTTTTTCACATTTGTAGACACTGGTATTGTACTGGATGAAAATGAAGGTAAAAAGTGGTGGAATTGCCCTTTAAATGCTTTATCAAAGGACATTAAATGGACATGATCAGATGATATTAGGTAACATGACAGGTCTGACATGAGTCTCAATGTATTAACTCTCATAAGGTCTCTTCCAGTGAACCTGCAGTATAAAAGGTTATTTCAGTCTCCAAAATTAAGCTTGAGTTGAATTTGTTGAGTACCAAAAGTAGTTTTCCTTTCCAAGACAGCATATGTGTGTTCTAAGGAGATCCTCCAGATATTCAGTCTGTGTAGATCAGTCCCCATATCTCACCTCTGCTCTCAGTTCCTTTGTGATATAACTGAGTAGGGCAGCAGTGACCTGCTGCTGGAGAGTAGCATTCCCCATGACCAGGGCGGTCAGCTGGGCCAGGTCTGTCCAGTTCAGTGAGCCCAAAACGGCCATGATATCAGCATAGAGCCTCTGCTGCTGGTGGGGAGGCAGCTCCATGATGATCTGAGGGAGAGGTCTGAACTGTCCACTGGTCATCCACCATCCCAACAGGCCACCTACTGCTCCACCTAAAGAGCCACACAAACAAGATCTGTGTCAGGAGATCAAGAGGGGAGAAGAGTTGCAGCTCACAGATTTCAATACCCATTTAAACATCCATATTTAGCCAAATCTACCTCCCCACTCATAAGACAATTTTGGCTGAGAATTATTCTACTCTAATGCCATACTTTATAGGCCTGCTGCATATACACTGAAAATCTCATAGCTGCACTTAATACAATTGATTTGAGAGAAAGGATATGGCTTCACCTTGTGGTTAAAGTATGGAACTGCATATTACTATAATTATGGTTACTTATTTGATATGATCCTTACCAACAGCAATCCCTGGGGGACCACCTAGAAGACCCCCTAAAAATGCAGTCCCTCCTGCCACTGCTGATCCTTTCCCAGAATTCTTCACTGCTGCTTTTATCTGCTGATTTGCAGACAGGTCACAGCACAGTTGCATGACATCATCCATACGTGGAGCCATCGTAGCTGCTCTCCCTGGTGCGATGATAAGAGACACACTGTAGATCAATATGCAACCAAGCCAACTCATCTATCTCTAGTATACATTGGGAGTAAAAATAGCCACTACCAATTTAATACTGGAAAAACATCAACGTAAGACTTGTCTTCTGTGAAATATCCTGAAGACTAGGAAGAGCATGCCATCTTCTGGTAATGAACTGCATTACACTGCTGAGCCTATACCGAAAGTGAAATAAACTATTTTTCAAATTCATGTTGTAGGCCTTTTTTTACTCCAGATTTTTACAAAGCCAGGCAACTATATTATTGCAATCAATTCATTTATCATATTTAGAATACAGAGACTGGGAAAATAACTTATGACTTAATGCACAGACCATTGTCATGAGTCAAAAACTTCTCACACAAGAGATTCGAAATGCTTCCCTTGGATTTATGTTATAACCACAATAATAACGACCGAGGCTAATAATAATAATAATAATAATAATAATAATAATAATTCTACTTCACTTCTGATACGTAGGCCTTTTAGAATGGCGTAAGGCGACAAGGAAAATAGAAGATAATGTTAGTGTGTCATCATGTGGCCATCAGCGTTCTCTCTCCATTAAAATTGTGGCAAAACCTTTACATAACGACATAGTTGACCCCATCACACAGGACGGACTCTGACGTTGGCTTACATGAAAATAGCCTGAAGTAAACCTTGGTGGCGAATCCCTACCGTCAGATCTCGCACTTCGCTGATGTGTAAGTATTTGTGTATAATGAGCGTTAGTAAAAATTATGACCGCGGTGAATGACGGGACATTCGTTTAGGACAAGCCCACATCCTGTTAAAACGATTCGCGGTGGTTTGTTAGAAGCACAATAAAACACACATAGCCTAATAAATAGGTCTCAGTGGGTCAACCTGGCATAATAGTCGTTTACCCGGCAGGCAAATATTTGTAACAATGTAGCACAAAAAGTCATTGATACAATTCCCCTCTTTTCGTAACATTGGTGGTGTTCGTTTTGCATGGCCCGGTGGCCAAGGTGGGTGGAGATTTCGCTTAAGAATAAATGGAATGGTCTAAAATACTAAAACTCCGCTCACATGGGACACCGGGCCATGCAAAACGAAGTCGACCACTGTTGCAGACTGCAAACCGTTCTACAAAACATTTTATTTTTTAAATCTTCCACTCTAATATATTTTGACTTGTTGTTATAGATTACACGCCTAGACTATTTGAAAGATTGGACGTCGGTTGAAACCATGTATCTAGGTATGTTTCAAGGAAGGACACTTTTATTCACTTGACAGCTAGTTGCCAAAATATGAGGACATAGGTTTGTTAGTGCGCAAGCAACTAAAGCTCCGCCTTCCGAGGTGGGATTTTTGTTTACGTTCTCCTCCCACCAAAGCAAAGGGAAGGAGTTGGTGTTCATAAACAAGTCTGTATCAAAACAATTACAGATCAGTTATAGTTTCGTGCTAACCGTCGGCCAATATACATTTGTCAGGTAAGAAAATAATACATTGTAGCCTTCAACATTGTGCGAGAGGTTTTATCCGTGTAGCAGCCTTTGTTCATGTGTAGCCTAGACACTTTTCCTTAGCCTACTATCTATCCATTGCATGTTTTTATTGATTTCTACATCCCAAAAGTGTCCTATAGGCCAACGTGTTAGTTTGGTAGACTACCATGTAATTGTAACCATGTCATGTGTCATTTTGAATGTAGGTTAGGTTATTTGTTTGATTGTCAGTGAATTACATAAAGGCAGTTCTTAATTATTAACTTATTTATTGAAGTTTAAACGCAATTAATGCCATATCAAGTTCACCCAAACTACTCTCCTATGTGTTTATGTTTAATTATTTAATTGTTTCTATCACACATTTATTATATATTGAATAGGGCTAATGTAAGGATTCTCTTACATGTCTTTAAACTTCCTACTTATGGACTTTTTGATGGCACACGAGAAAAGATGTAAACAATACATTTTGCACCTTATGAGTTAATTCTGTCTGGGCACTATTGGATCTTCCCTTGCTGGCAGGCTGGGGTGTAGCTGTTTATTGACAGTATAGGCAGTCCACCAAGTGTCAAGTCCACCAAGGCATTCAAAGACCGTGGCTGTCTGGACAGCCCGTGGTCTAAAAGTGGATGTTGTTGTGTTCTGTCTAGTCTGACACCTCAAGCCTGAAAGACATACAAATACTGTGTATACCTGATTGTTTTTATAGGCCTATTTGACTAGAAATTTAGGCCTTTTACATAAAATTATATACACTAAAATGTATGTATGTATTCATTTTTTACAAACCAGTTGTTTTCACCATAGTTTGGCCAATTGGCTTCATATTCACTACATTAGTTTATTCATAACATATCTTAAGATTCAGGCTTGAAATGAGATTGCTGGTCAGAAAGGATGCCATGTCCTCCAGTCTGCAGATCGCTTCCAAGGGGCATGCTGTTCCTGATTCTGCTGTGCTGGCAGGGTCATTAACCCAGGACCCAATGTTAAACACGAAAGGTCATAATGTAAGGCGTTGTTCAGTGTCTGCTTTCTGGAATAATTTCAGATCTATTTTCTGAGTGGCGCAGCGGTCTAAGGCACTGCATCTCAGTGCTTGAGGCGTCACTACAGACCCCCTGGTTCGATTCCAGGCTGTATCACAACCGGCCGTGATTGGGAGTCCCATAGGGCGGCGCACAATTGGCCCAGCGTCGTCCGGGTTTGGCCGGTGTAGGCCGTCATTGTAAATAAGAATTTGTTCTTAACTGACTTGCCTAGTTAAATAAATGTTAAATAAATAAAATTATTTAAAAACAGATATGTGGATATTAAACTACACATGCCTTTTCAGGTTGTGCTGTTTTCTTGCATTTTATGCAATGTTTTACCAAGATCAGTTTAGCAATTTTACCAGTTTAGCAATAATTGTATCCGTTTAGCAATGTTTTACCTTATAGGGGACACATACTATAACACTATGTTAACTCATTTTCTTTGCAGACTGCAATAAGAGGGCTAAGGGAGGCAAAACATATACACAATGATTGGAAAGATACTTGCCCATTTCCTTGGTAGCACAGATTACGATTTTCCCACAGATGACAATGAAACCTATGAGGAGCTCATTGAGTTTGAGGAGGGAGGATGGGTCGTTATCAACATTCAAGGTAAGCCGATAATTATGTTCCCTGAAAGTTGAAATCACAAGTTAGTTGTTACACTGGTATGGCCATTGTTGTCTGCAGTTACTTGTTTTGTAACTGGTAGCATTGTAGGTACTTGGATAGTAGATCTAATGGTCACTATTAGAGGTCTTGCTAGTGTTTTTCCTCTTTGGTCTCGGTTTAGTAAATTTGTGGTCTGATGTTTCCAGAGAACAACTCCCTGAGCCCCCCTGAGGAAGACCCTTTGGAGAACCTGCTGATTGAGCATCCCAGTATGTCTGTATACCAGATCAGACACCAGACCAGCGATGAGGAAGATTCAGATGAAAATAATGCTTCTCCCAGGTCAGTTTTCATCCAGGGGATCCATCTACTTAGTTAGTGTGATAACACAACCATTATCCTAGAGAAAAGGAGTGTCACATTTTACAGTTATTCTGTACTTTTCCCCCCTGCAGGTCTGTGCCAGTCCAACAGCATGTGTCCTGGAGGCTAGCTGCCTGGGGAAGCCCACTTCCATGCAACATCCACCTGCTTGCCATACAGCGAGCCAGGACTCACATGGAGTGCAAGAAGCTGACCAGGAGTGCTCTCCAGAGACAGAACCTTGCCAAGATGCGCTTCTCCCCCTCTGACAGACGCTTTGGTCACTTCAAACAACCCTGCCAGCGTCTGTACAACTACTGAGTGTCTGAGTAACCACGCCACTGTCTGAAGCCACTTAACATACAGACCTTAGACCTATGACATCATGACTTTGTGAATCTCTTTACCCTGATCAGTGGAACCCCCTTAGCTGAGTATGTTATTAACATACTGAGCCCAGTTTGAGAGTGAAATAGCCTTGAGTAGATGTGTGTGCATGTGAAAAGTATTATAACTGGCTTGTTACTGTTAAGTCTTATGGCTCTGATGAAAACGTTTGATGTACTGTATGAAATGCAAAATGTTTTAGCGTTTGCAAATATGATTTTGATAGGATATGGAATACTTTGTTTTTATTACTTTGTGTGCCTTAGATACGTTGTGGGTATACATTTTAGTCATTTAGCAAACGCTCTTATCCAGAGCGATTTACATGAGCAATTAGGGTTAAGTGCCTTGCTCAAGGGCACATTGACAGATTTTTCACCTAGTCGGCTCGGGGATTAGAACCAGCGACCTTTCGGTTACTGGCACAACGCTCTTAACCACTAAGCTACCTGCCTCCTTATATTGCTTTAAGGAAAAGTTGATACGTTTCATAGCTATGAAAAGCTATTTTGTATATGATATGTGATGACACAAAACATCACTCTTGAGTAATTGGACCTCTTTCTCTATATTTTTATGAACAAATACAATGTATGTAAGGATAACCAAATAATGATGAACCACTGTTTCTAATGTATATTTTGTACTGAGTGATTCACTTTGTTTTTATACATTTATTCCCAGTGTGTTCTTATGTTTGCTGGACTGCTACAAGCCCTGTTTGTAAATATATGCAGATTTCTTTGTATTTTGGTGTATATTTAAATGTTAAACAATTGTTAAATAAGGTTGTTTTGTTTAGGTATTATCTGTATTTTATTAAATAACATGAGACATAACTTCAGTAATTACATGTATTATTACCACCAAATGTATTTCATTGTTCTGCAATAAATTATTTTAGCAGCAAATTGGTGGATTTAATTTTCGAAGCAAATGCACCTTCCCCATGAACTTCTTAATGCTTTCTGGATCAACAGCATTTGCCCAAACGCCTCCCCTCTTGAAATGAGAGCCAATTATCATCGCACTACCATCAAGGAAGTGTTCCACGTTGTCATGGGTCACTCCTGAGCCAATAAGAACTGGGAGTCTTACAGACTCTGCAACATCTGCAAATAGAAAAGAAAGGATTGTTGGGTAAATATTTCGAGATGCTACATTATGTTTACTGAGTTCATTATATTGGCAAGCTGTGCAAGAGTTCATTTGAAACAAATACCTAAATGGTTGGATTTAGGAATGCATTGCAAGTGTCATGCATCATCTCTGATAAGTAAATGGTGAATGTAGGTTCAGAGATGATATGAGAAAAACATATGAGGAATGAGATAAATCCAGACTCTGGCAGCTCCATATACCCATCTGACAACAGAGCCAGCCCAATGGAATCGTACTGGGAGACTGTAGGAACCACCTCCAAACTAGGCAGCAGGGTTGTGTGGCAGTCTAGTCGGAGCCTGCCTGTGTTTACAGCCTTCTGTGTAAGTCAGCCATCTGTACGCTGTGCTTAAAAATAGCAGACGATGTTGGTGTCTATATTAGCCAAGCAGGGCTGTGGCCGGCAGGCAAGGGCAGGATCGGGCTGTGTGCCCATGGTCAGCACGATCCAGACTGGGGGGACTGTGAGGCTGCCATCCTCTCCCCAGACGAGGCTGCTCTTTATAAGGCCAGCAGCGAGGCTCACAGGTTCCATGGGCTTTAGGGCAGCTTAACCTCTGGGCTACATGAATAACTAACGCCAGGAACTATCTGCCCTTGCAAATGTAGGAAGTATGCAATAGACTGGTATGCAGTGGGAGTGGTATGGAATTGAGTGAGGTAACTGAACATACTTTTGTTAGGGTGTGTGTTATGGTTTGTGAGAATGTATGAGACCTAGAAAAAGGGCACTCCCTTATTAACCAAGACTACAGGAGTGTTTGAGAGAAAATGAAAAGGGAGAGGAAAGTAAACTATCTAGAGATACTAAAACTATGTTTATACCAAGGTGCATGCTGAGCATTCCTAAAATGATACACCAAGCATTATGCTTCAGATATATAATGTAAGTGCTGAGGGTCGGCTGCCCTTTGATCCAAATGGCAAAATGGTGATTACACAGTAATAGCCTATGCATTATTTATTTGTATTTAAATGGGTTGGGGGTATTTTTCTATTACTGTATGTGTCAGTATGTTTGTGTGTCACACCATACATGTGTATATGTGTCATATTGTACATACATGTCTGTATGTGTCAGAGCATTCAGAGACAGGACACACCTCTGAGTTCCATTGGATCTGCCTGAACCCCTGTGGCTGTTCCAGTGATAATGAGCCCATCAGAGAGGAAAAACTCAGCTGCTCTGGCCGTATCCACTATGCTCACATCTGAAGTCAGGGCATGGGAGCTAGGAACACAAACACGTACCCACAAACATAAAGCATCCAATTACACTTACTACAGCAGTCAGAAATGTTACTTTCATCTCCTTGCAATTTCGTTTAATATTAGCCGCAATACTTGCATGTTGAAAATCTTCTGAAATACCATATCTGGACATGTAGGCTAGCCAGTGGGGTTGTCTGACTGGAGTGTTTTGAACGATTGCTCACCTGTGCTTCTTTTTTATGTCAGTGAAGATCTGCACATGTTCAGCCTTTATTTGCTTGCGGTATCGCAAAAGGTCTCCGGCACATGCATTCAAAAGGCCTTCATCAGCAACATGTGAGAAGACATATCCCTCTGCCCTGATAAAATCCATACCTTGGAAAAAGACAACAACAGAATAGGTAGCTAAACATTTGCTTTTCCCAACCTCTAAATACAGATCTTTCTATTAAACTAAAATTCCAGGCGAACCTGAAGCGCTCTTAAGCATGCATGTATTAATCAGTAATAAGCAAAGCCAGCTAAATCAACCTGAAGCCAGTGCAACAGCAAGAGCTGAGCTGTTTGCTGCAGACAGGATCTGAACTCCAAGAGGCAGAGACGGACAGATCCCCCTCACCGCTGCACACACTGCTGTCATAGAGGCACACACCTCTGACCCAATTGAGAATGTGTATGGAATGTCATGCATGTTCTCTATGATCAGCCCGTCCTGTTCAAAAGATCAACAGACAACAAACAATTACTTTTCCAGTCATCATTGAAGGTGAATATTGTGGTTTACATAGTCAGAGGCTACAGTCTTAGTAACATATAATAATTAATAATAATATGCCATTTAGCAGACGCTTTTATCCAAAGCGACTTACAGTCGTGCGTGCATACATTTTTGTGTATGGGTGGTCCCGTGGTTCGAACCCACTACCTTGGCGTTACAAGCACCGTGCTCTACCAGCTGAGCTACAGAGGACCACAAAGTACATCAAAAAGTAAGGAGTTCTTGTGTCTTTTCTTATACTTACAATTCCTGCATTGTGATAGATTTCTGCTTCACGGCATGCCTCCTCAATAATTTGAGGAATGGCCATGCTTCCTAAAGGTGTGCCTGAAAAACATAAATTCAAAGTTAAAAACAAAAATAGAGTAAAAAACGTCCTCTGCATCTCAATCATCTTTACCTGATAAGGCTTGAACATGAATCATTCCAATAACCACAGATTTAGCACGTCCAAAGAGATTCAGAAACTTCATTTTTTTTACTGTTTCAAACCAGTTGCAATGTGGAGGCACATTGGCTTTGAAATGAGACTCGTTCCCATGTAGCGGCTAGCTTGATCACGTGTCTGGTCAAAGTGTACAGTTTATACAGGTTTACAGATCTCTGAGTTATGGTCACCCAATCCAGTGTTTTTTTCGTGTGGCGCATGAAACATATTAAAACACAATTTCAACAGTTATGACCCTGAGACAAGGCACATAGGGTGTAGATTAGCCTCCTCCTTGTATACTTTTCCTTTATCTTCTGATAAGAAAACGTTAACTTATGAATTATATATGAAAGTATAAGATGGTGCCTAAAATGTATTTGATTAAACCTGCACTGTTATTTTTCCAACATTAGTGTAGACAAGAGGAAGGAGACGAGGAGGAAGCCACTAAACATAGCTAATGCACTAGTTCTGGGCGCCATCACCATTCTCGTTCAGCAAATTGCGCGGCATTAATTTGATCTTAAAATAATGACATACCTCTTGAATTACGGACAATGAAAGTACATTCTGTCGGCTTGATAGATAAACATTTTCTAACATTTCTGGAAAAATTGGCATAACGTCCGGATTTGAAGGTTTTTGAGAGGGACACAGTCTTTGTTTACATCTGTCTTCCCTAGCCACGCGGTACTTTGTTGTTCCGGATTCTAAGCACGGCCCCTGAGCTGTCACTACACCAGCCACGCCTCCCTTTTGCCGGCAAAATGCAATATTTGGAACACCATTATGCTGTACATTTCTCACACAACATAAGATTTCAGATGATTTGACTCTTCACTTCTGAACAATTAATGACTAATAATAATGTTAGTTGAAATGTAACTGCAAAGGATCACTGAACAGCGCCAAGTATTTAAATCACCCGCTCGGAACCGCCCTTATGTTACTGTAGACAGCAAGCAGTTTATAAACGAAGGCGCAAAACTCACCGCACCAGCAAAGAACAAGTAGCTAGCTCGCAGCTCCCTTTTGATGCCAAAAAGAGGCCACGAATCGAATAATAATTGAATAGCTGTCTAGTAACTTTAGCTATATTTTGTCAGATCCTTTCAGCCAAGTGTGGACCTTCGCGGGGGAATATTTTTAGGTAAGCTGGCAAATAATTGAAACCTCTATTGTTAACTAGCAGTCTTGCAACTTGGTTAAGAAGAGCAAACTTTTCAATCAAACTCCCTCAACGTGATTCGAAATGAGTGAGAAGATGGTAAATATTCTGAATTTGAAAGGCGATTGACATCATCGGATGGCTAGTTTTTTGTGAGAAAGCTTGTTAGAGCGGGTGAATGGAAAATGGCATACTTGATGGCTCGGCCATTTTCTGGCCAGCTTCTCTCTCTAATTTAGGAGAAATGAACTCGTTTCCATCGACTGTATGTGGAAACTATTAGGTTTAGGTGAACGTGTGGAATCTGGTGTATATGTATGCATGGTTTTGTGACAATTGTTGCAGTATTTCATATTGTTTGTCGTCCTTTAACATTGTCCCACTTCAATTTCCCCGCGCCCAGATCTTTTGACGAGTTGGCTTTGTGAGACTTACGTGGGGGGTTGGGTTGTGGTGTTATTACCTAAAAATCAGAACAAATAAATATATTTCATGTTTCCAGGAACTCTATTGGAGGGATACACGTGGGATATAATGCCAAGAAATGGGTAAGTTTCAGTTTCGCAGTTTGACCTAGTCTTGTCAATCAATGTCGCTAGCTAGGTGACGAAAAAAAGTTGTCACGTTAGGTAGCTGACTTGCTAACAAACTAGCCGCAGCTCAGCTAGTTAGCTAGCAATAGCTAACACGTTTCTCACCATTTCAGCAGGATACATATTATAATTCAATATTTACTGTGTAATTTCAGGAGAAATGTGGAATCCAGGACAATTGATCATGAGATGCCCAAGGAAACTACAGTGAGAGCCAGGAAAAGAAAAGCAGATGTTGCCATTGTAAGTCATTGCTATCTGCGTATTGCTACTGTAGCGAGATGGTTGCCTGCGTATGTATTTTTAAGATGGTTTAAAATAATGAACATTCTCCTTGTTCAATCCTCAGTATTTGCAAGACCCAGATGAAGTGGCAGAGATGACGAAAAAGAAACTGTGTGGAACTCAGGTAACTACATGCATTTGTATTATTCCAATGCATTCCCTTGCAGACCATGCATTTGTTGGATTTAGCTAGCAACAGACACCCGGCAGTGACCTACACAGGTTAATCAGGACCATTCAATAAATGACACAATTGTTTAATCAGTTGGTATTGGTGGCACTATCTCAGAATCCTCTTCATGCTGTGTTCGTTTTTATCAGTCAGTGAACTTTCTTCTCCTCCCCTCTATTCTTATCCCTCTCCTGTGCAGGTGTGCTGGAATCCCGAGTCGGTTTACACAAGCCCGTGCAGGCGGAGCCCCACGCCTGACAATAAAGTTGATCAACCAGTTGCCTTGAGCGCCACTGGATTTTCTACTCAGTACACCTTCAAAAACATATTTGTCACCCCCACCAGGTCTTCTCCTCTTCCTGTGCTATGGTTAGTCACTTCAGGTATCTGGGACAACGTGAGCAAGATGCTGCAAAATAACAGGAGTGGTTACTTGCCACGTTTTGATAATTTTATGATTGTCATTAGATTGCTTGAACTCTGCACTTACACTGTCAAAGGCCAAGCATTATGATGACCAATGTCTTCATCTGTTTCATTTGAATGTAACACACACAATGTAGTCCTTACCACTATCGTCCAAGAGTGTAGAGTCTGCTGTTATAAGAATGGCTATCCCACCTTGCCACTCATAGTATATGTACCTGTATACTGTTTAATCTTAAAGTTCTGTGTTTGCACTCTCTGAATCTCTAGTTATAAATACAAATGAACTAGATGCTAACCCTCTGGATGTGTTTCTCTTTGTAGCTGGGCAAGCAGAGACGATGTATGGAACAACCTGTTGAAGAAAGACAAGACGTATTCTCGAGACATCCACGTCATGAAAAAACACCCACACCTCCAACCCAAGATGAGGGCTATTCTTCTGGACTGGCTAATGGAGGTTTGTAGCACTCTCCGTCTCAAACTCCTAGACTAAATTCCTCTCCCACAGTGTATCTACTACTTTGATCAAAACCCTCATGTTGTTACTTGATCAGTTGTTTATCTTAAGGTGGTGAGTGGATTAGTTTGACCAATAGATGTATGGTCCCAGTTAACTGTAAGTCAGTTAGTTTGCGTCCATCTGTTTACAATATTAGCATAACCTATTGGAGAAATGGCTGTCAGGTGATGAGTATTACCTGCGCTCTAACTGATTCTAAGGGGAAGCCTAGTAACTGAATGCATTCAACCGAAATGTCTTCCGCATTTAACCAAACTCTGAATCAGCATTGATCTTGAAGTTGGATCGTTTCAATCATATATGGTATAGAGAACCATGATCAATGCTGTTACATGGGGATATCTTCCTTCGCTACTCTGTGATATTGCCTAGGACTTGTATTCTCAACCTTGTTTTCTCTCTCTCAGGTGTGCGAGGTGTACAAGCTACACAGAGAAACCTTCTACCTGGCTCAGGATTACTTTGATAGGTTCATGGCCACACAGACCAATGTTTTCAAGTCAACACTACAGCTCATCGGCATCTCTTCTCTTTTTATAGCTGCCAAGATGGAGGTAGGAAGTAGCCTCTTCTACAACCTGTGTTTAGTCGTTTTCTTAATTCTCCACTTTGTATTTCGCAGAGTCAGATTTTTAACATGTTTACTATTTCTTTTTCAGGAAATCTACCCTCCAAAGGTGCACCAATTTGCCTATGTTACTGATGGGGCCTGCACTGAGGATGATGTCCTATGTATGGAGCTAATCATTATGAAGGTATGCCTCTCAAACACTTCCGTCCCAGTTTTTCTCAGTACGGATGGGTAATGCAAATCCTTAGGTAGTGTTGTGAAGCTTGTTGAGACATGAGCAACGTTTAGCCGTTACTGTTAGATCCCGGGCTGTATCACAACCGGCCGTTATCGGGAGTCCCGTAGGGCGGCACACAATTGGCCCAGCGTCGATAGGGGGAGGGTTTGGCCGGGGGGGGGCTTTACTTGGCTCATCGTGCTCTAGCGACTCCTTGTGGCGGGCCGGGCACCTGCAGGCTGACCTCTGTCGTCAGGTGAAGTGTTTCCTCCGACTCATTAGAGTGGCTGGCTTCCGGGTTAAGTGGGCGGGTGTTAAGAAGCGTGGATTGGCGGGTCATGTTTCGGAGGACGCATGACACTACCTTCGCCTCCTGAGCCCGTTGGCCGTTGCAGCGATGAGACAATATTGAAATTGGGGAGGAAAGGGGGGTAAAATAAGCCCCCCCTCCTCCCTAATGAGGCTCTGTCACTAATGGTAGTTGCTGTCTAACTTGATAGTACACGTTTCTTCTGAGTCTCCTAATATCTGAGCTGGGGAACACTTCTCTGTGGAATGAAATCATAATGTGGCTCATGTTTCTATTGTGTCCCCCTTTGCTCAGGAGCTGAAGTGGTGTTTGAGTCCCCTGACAGCTGTTTCCTGGCTAAACATCTACATGCAGGTTGCCTACCTGAAAGAGTCTGAAGAGGTTCTCATCCCACAGTACCCACAAAATACATTTGTACAGATTGCCGAGGTAAGGTTACAACTGAGATTTCCCGCCACTGCATGTGATTCATAGTATCTTCCAAAAAAATATACCTAGGAAGATCAACAAGGCAAAATATCATGTTATTTCTCACCGATGACACTGCTGCTGCTTAAACAAGATGGATTTGTAAGACTGAATGGTTTCACATTTCCTCTCCTTAGAACGGCTCATTGCCTCAAGTCACTATTGTAGAAGTACATATGCAGTGTTACTGTGCTCGTGTTGTCATTTTTATTTTCCTATTGTTTCTCTCCATAGCTCCTTGATCTTTGTGTGTTGGATGTGAAATGTCTGGAGTTCTCCTACGGAGTGCTGGCTGCCTCTGCCCTGTTCCATTTCTCCTCGCTGGAGCTGGTGGAGAAAGTTTCAGGTAGGGTGTTTTCATTCTGAAGTGGTTCATGTCAATCAACATCTTCAATCTGACCACTGAGCTATGGTGGTTTGGTAGACTTGCCAAGGGTGTTTTTAGCCCTAACCAGACCCCATTTGTCTTGATCTGTGCAGCTCTGAAGTGGTCAGATGTTGAGGAGTGTGTGAGGTGGATGGTCCCCTTTGCCATGTCCATCAGAGAAGTGGGCAGCTCAACCCTGAGGAACTTCAAAGGAATCCCAGCAGATGACATGCACAACATTCAGACCCATGCTGCCTATCTGGACTGGATGGTGAGTGCCTCGTTTGTTATTTGTATGGTTTTCAACCACAATGTCCTATACCAATGTGTGGCATTGCTTCATGCTGTGCAGAGTGAATATTTTTCCCTCCGATTGTTTCTTGTGTGCAATGGCCCACAGCTCTTGACTGAAGTATCAGTTGCAGCCTGTATTGAGAGTTCTGTTGGTTTCTTTAGGCGAAGGCATGCTCCTACCCACAAGTGGACGTAGATCGCAGCCAGAGTTCTCCAGTACCGTCCGGAGTGCTCACTCCACCCCCAAGCAGCGAGAAACCAGAGGGCACAGTCTGTTGATATCCATTGGGTTAGTATGGGCACGGGCTGAGGAAGTCTCATGACGGGACCAAGATATTGGAGGATTGGGAGAAATCCATGGCATTACACCAACAAGTCCTCGTGTGATTTTTCTACATGTGTGCATGTGTTATTCCATGAGTTGTTTTGGTGCAAAGGTGAATGGACATTTTTGGATATCTGCCTTTTTTGAGTGAGTGACAGTTTTTTAAAATTGGAGTAATGCCAAGCTGGACCACCTGCCAAAAACCCAGAGTTGTCACCGGCTCTGAGTGCTGCTAAAGAAGGTGGACTTGGATTGACTGAGGAACAGTGGATGGATGTGTGGATGTAGCTCACGCTTGCCATTTTGAGAAAGATAATACTGGCAGGTTTGGCTTGGGTACCAGTAGCTCTGCTGCCAAAATGGACAAGTGGAACAGCCTGCTTCAGAAGCGGAAATATGGATTGTATTTAAGATTTTAACTTGGCAACTTTTCTCTAGCATTCAAGTTTTTACCAAAATGTATGATATTTTTGTTTTGAAATGAGATGCTGCTACTTATCTTATTTTTTTTAAATAAAGTCACTGTCGCAGACAGCTTTTCTGTTTTACAATGTTGTGTGTCTTGGCTTTGTCCAGGGACAGGGATTGTAGCCTGTTTTTTTTTTTTCATTGACTCATCACATGCTAGAGAGGCCAAGGATAACAGCTGGCAAGGCAACAGCATCATCTAACTCCGTTTAGGAGCCTGAGATTGCTGATCTACTGAGGAAGTCCTGCTGTAGCCTATGATGATGTCATCCTTTTTGTTCTGTGTTACACTATGTGTAACCCAAGTATGCCTAGTAGGCTAGGTCTACTGTGTAGCACAGGCCTACGATGTCTTTTTTTAACCATTTAGGAGAACCACAATGGAAATAAGTTCATCAATTTTAAATGCATGATCCACGTGTGGTTGTATGTTGAAATTGTCAAATAAATCTCTCTTTGCTGGATTAATGACATGCACAATATGTTGACTTGCGTAGGTATTTAACGCATCTGAAAATATATATACAGTGAGGGAAAAAAGTATTTGATCCCCTGCTGATTTTGTACGTTTGCCCACTGACAAAGACATGATCAGTCTATAATTTTAATGGTAGGTTTATTTGAACAGTGAGAGACAGAATAACAACAACAAAAATCCAGAAAAACGCATGTCAAAAATGTTATAAATTGATTTGCATTTTAATGAGGGAAATAAGCATTTGACCCCTCTGCAAAACATGACTTAGTACTTGGTGGCAAAACCCTTGTTGGCAATCACAGAGGTCAGACGTTTCTTGTAGTTGGCCACCAGGTTTGCACACATCTCAGGAGGGATTTTGTCCCACTCCTCTTTGCAGATCTTCTCCATGTCATTAAGGTTTCGAGCCTGACGTTTGGCAACTCGAACCTTCAGCTCCCTCCACAGATTTTCTATGGGATTAAGGTCTGGAGACTGGCTAGGCCACTCCAGGACCTTAATGGGCTTCTTCTTGAGCCACTCCTTTGTTGCCTTGGCCGTGAGTTTTGGGTCATTGTCATGCTGGAATACCCATCCACGACACATTTTCAATGCCATGGCTGAGGGAAGGAGGTTCTCACTCAAGATTTGATGGTACATGGCCCTGTCCATCGTCCCTTTGATGCGGTGAAGTTGTCCTGTCCCCTTAGCAGAAAAACACCCCCAAAGCATAATGTTTCCACCTCCATGTTTGACGGTGGGGATGGTGTTCTTGGGGTCATAGGCAGTATTCCTCCTCCTCCAAACACGGCGAGTTGAGTTGATGCCAAAGAGCTCAATTTTGGTCTCATCTGACCACAACACTTTCACCCAGTTCTCCTCTGAATCATTCAGATGTTCATTGGCAAACTTCAGACGGATCTGTATATGTGCTTTCTAGCAGGGGGACCTTGCGGGCGCTGCAGGATTTCAGTCCTTCACGGCGTAGTGTGTTACCAATTGTTTTCTTGGTGACTATGGTCCCAGCTACCTTGAGATCATTGACAAGATCCTCCCGTGTAGTTCTGGGCTGATTCCTCACCGTTCTCATGATCATTGCAACTCCACGAGGTGAGATCTTGCATGGAGCCCCAGGCCAAGGGAGATTGACAGTTATTTTGTGTTTCTTCCATTTGCGAATAATCGCACCAACTGTTGTCACCTTCTCACCAAGCTGCTTGGCGATGGTCTTGTAGCCCCTTCCAGCCTTGTGTAGGTCTACAATCTTGTCCCTGACATCCTTGGAGGGCTCTTTGGTCTTGGCCATGGTGGAGAGTTTGGAATCTGATTGATTGATTGCTTCTGTGGACAGGTGTCTTTTATACAGGTAACAAACTGAGATTAGGAGCACTCCCTTTAAGAGTGTGCTCCTAATCTCAGCTCGTTACCTGTATAAAAGACACCTGGAAGCCAGAAATCTTTCTGATTGAGAGGGGGTCAAATACTTATTTCCCTCATTAAAATGCAAATCAATTTATAACATTTTTGACATGCGTTTTTCTGGATTTTGTTGTTGTTATTCTGTCTCTCACTGTTCAAATAAACCTACCATTAAAAGTATAGACTGATCATTTCTTTGTCAGTGGGCAAATGTACAAAATCAGCAGGGGATCAAATACTTTTTTTTCCCTCACTGTATATATATATATAGAGCAGATTTGAACGTTTGACGGGCAATGATGTATGTCTACGATTTCATTAGTGTTCATGTGGCCGTACCTTTTTAAAGCCTTATCATTTTTATATGTGCCTTTTCTAAACTAAAGTTTATGCTGAAAGTTAATCAAATGCATAGCATAAGACTTAAAATGTCCAAGAGAAGAGTGATCTAAAGGCACGTTTCTATGAAAAATAAATCGCTAGAAACTGCTGCTTTTCTTTAAACTCACAAAATATTGTCGAAAGGTAATGGATTCGTCACAAAGATGACATCTGAAGTGGTGCACTGGGCTAATGTAAAGTACCGAATACAGACAGATGTGAAAAAAGTCGACGTAAACATCTTCAGTGTCAGATGTTTTGTATTCTTATTCACTGTAACTTGCCATAATGGGGAATCAAAGGGGACACAACTGAAATTCATCAGAAGGAAAACAAAATGGAGAATAGAGATGGCCTCTATAATGGCTGTCTCTCATGCATTCACTGACAGACAGTGCCCTCTGCTTGCAGTCCATGAGTGTGTGCTTAAAGATACACAGGATTAATCCACTAGATGTCAGTATGATGCTTTCACTGTCAAAACTTCTGTCTTGTAAGACTTGCCGGGGACTACTCGACAGATACTGCTGGGAGTAATTATTGTACTTGTCTAATTCTCTGGTCCTTCACTTTGTCACCAACCAGATTGGATCACCTAAGGGTTGTTTGTTTTTCTTTGGCCAGCTGAAATTGATCAGATGCATATATCAAATGGATTGATAGTATTGTCTTACTAAAGAATTTGGATATTCAGTCTACATCAATTCTTCGCTCTTTTGCACTAATCCTTGGTGTCCACATCACCAATAAACTAACATGGTCCAAGCACACCAAGACAGTCGTAAAGAGGGCACGACAAAACCTATTCACCCTAAGGAGACTGAAAAGATTTGGCATGGGTCCTCAGATCCTCAAAAGGTTCTACAGCTGCACCATCAAGAGCATCCTGACTGGTTGCATCACTGCCTGGTATGGCAACTGCTCGGCCTCCGACCGCAAGGCACTACAGAGGGTAATGCGTACGGCCCAGTACATCACTGGGGTCAAGCTTCCTGCCATCCAGGACCTCTATACCAGGCGGTGTCAGAGGAAGGCCCTAAAAATTGTCAATGGGTCCTCCCTAGTCATAGACTTCTCTCTGCTACCTCACGGCAAGTGGTACCAGAGTGCCAAGTCTAGGTCCAAGAGGCTTCTAAACCGCTTCTTCCCCCAATCCATAAGACTCCTGAACATCTAATCAAATGGCTACCCAGACTATTTAAATTGCTCCCCCCCACCCCTCTTTTACGCTGCTGCTACTCTCTGTTAATTATCTATGCATACTCAATTTAATAACTCTACCTACACATACATATTACCCCAATTACCTCGACTAACCGGTGCCTGCGCACATTGACTTGGTACCGGTACCCCCTGTATATAGCCTCGCTATTGTTATTTTTACTTTTTTTTTTTGTATTCTTTCTTAAAACTGCATTGTTGGTTAAGGGCTTGTAAGTAAGCATTTCACTGTAAGGTCTACACCTGTTGTATTCGGCGCATGTGACAAATACAATTTGATTTGATTTAATGGCAGGAATATGAACGAACCATGCCATCTCAAGTTATGCCCTATATTATTTTTCAACCATTTCAAATGACTGTTCCTTTTCTGCTCTGTTACTCTACACACCCATTGACTGTTCTGCATCAATGTTCAGTGATTAACGCTGCATTAAAGCAGCAGCAGCCCTTGCTGTCTCTTTAAAGAGAGGGGGGCTTCACCCATCAGACAGGCTCTTGGGGCATGGGGCCCTCAGGCAGCCAAGCAGGCAGCAGCACAACAGCTGTTATGTGCTCAATGGCCCCTTTGTTCTCACAGCTCAGACGCTTGTGGCAGCAGCAGGTGCCCATTGGCTGAGCCACCAGGCACCAGCAGAGTTCACACCTAGATATGGGGTACAGTAGACACCAATCACTGAAAATGCTAAAGTGTTCCACCTACATATAGTAACATTCATAGGCCAGCATTTGTGTTTTATATAATTCATACATTGCAATTAAAATGGCAGCATGTGTCAATATTGGAATTACTAAATTGATTTAATGATCCTGCTTTGATCAAGAAAAAGGTACATGTATTCTTAATAAAAATTCGGTCAAAGGTGCAAGGGAAAACATTTGTGCTAACATATTTTTCAATTGGGAGTCTGACTCTGTGACACTTTAGGGTCAATAGAAAATGTTCTGTCATGTCAAATAGGCCACTTGGTGACACATTTTATCCCTGAGGCAAGGCAGGGTGCAGCAGGGGAGGGTAGCAGTAAAATAGCACTGATATTCATAATGTATTTAGGTTTCCCATAGTCCCACATGCAGTATTTAATTTTTGAAATGATTAATATCAATCTACATATTCAATTAAATGATTATATTAGTTGAGCTCTATTGGTTTGCAATACATGCATATACCAATAATATATATCTACCTAGGTTGTTTAGTCAGTTTTGGCCCCTAACCAGACCCACTTGATCTGTGCAGCTCTGAAGTGATCTGTCGTTGAGGAGTGTGTGAGGTGGATGGTTCCCCTTGCTATGTCCATCAGAGAAGTGGGAAGTTCAGCCCTGAATACCTTCAAAGGACTCACACAGACGACATACACAACATCCATACCTATGTTGCCTATCTGGACTGGATGGTGAGTTTCCGTTCTTCAAGGAGCCTCTACCCACATGTACATACAGTGGGGGGAAAAAAGTATTTAGTCAGCCACCAATTGTGCAAGTTCTCCCACTTAAAAAGATGAGAGAGGCCTGTAATTTTCATCATAGGTACATGTCAACTATGACAGACCAATTGATAAAATGTTTTCCAGAAAATCACATTGTAGGATTTTTTATGAATTTATTTGCAAATTATGGTGGAAAATAAGTATTTGGTCACCTAC